AAAAAAAAGGGTTTTGCAAGGGCCCCCCCTGGGCCCACTTTTCTTGGGAGGTTCTCCCGTTAAATCCGGGGGAAATTGCAAAAAGCCTTAAAAAAAAAAAGTTTTCCCAGGGGGGTTTTTGGAAACCAATCTTATTCCCCAAAATTTTTTTTATAAAATCCCCACCCTGGGTTTTGCCCCTGGGTAAATTTTTCAAAAAATCCTCCGGGTTCCCAAAAAAAATTTGGTTGGGTAAAAATTTCAAAATTCCTCTCCATCCCCCGGGGGGTGGGTAATTTTTTTAAAATTTATCCAGCCATCCCCGAATTTTATTCTCCCTGGGGGTGGATTTTTCGGGGGGGTTTTTTTAGGGTTTTTTTTTTTTTTTTGGGGGGGGGGGGGGGGGTGGCCTGCACCGAAAATATTATCCAGATCCAAACGACCGTCTTCCTCGAGGTATATTTTTTTCTGGAGGGAAAAAAGAGACTGATTCATGTTCTTGTGAGTTACAACAACATGCTTCAGTACACGGTTTTGGCTCGTGTGCGACCAACAAGACACCGAGCGCCCTATTTATGGGTCGCCTGCAGAAGGCATGTGTATCATCCCACGCCAGTGGCTGCAGTTTGTGGATGTTGTCGGCCAAAGGCCTCTCTCTGATGGCATGCGTTGAACACTGATCACACTCGACTCGGAGCAAGGGGCAGAAAAAAAAAGCAACGTCCAAAAAAGGCAACACCGAACCACACCTCGATTCACGTTTGTTTGCAGACCGTGTGCAATCAAAACTGGACAATACGCTCTGTTTCTGGGACGCGAGCAGACGCTATGTGTATGACCACACGCCACTGGCTGCTGTTTGTGAATGTCGTCGGCCAAAGGCCTCTCTCTGGCATGCGTTTTCGACTGGTCGCGGGTGACACACGGAGCAAACACGCGGCGGAACAAGAAAAAATACCAAAAAGTGAACACCGCAACACACTTTGGTTCACGTTTGCAGGTCGTGTGCAATCAAAACTGGACAACACGCTCTGTTTCTGGGCCACGAGCAGAGGGCATGAGTATGAACACACGCCATTGGCCGCAGTTTGTGGATGTCGACGGCTTAAGGCCTCTCTCTGGCATGAGTTTTGAACTGGTCACACATGCAGCAGGCGCAAAAACGGCTCTTTTCGGCCCAAAGGCAACAACGTCAGCAGAGCAATGTGGCAGGGTTGCCGTTTTCGGCTCGTGTGCGGCCAACACGACGCAGAACGCCCTGAATATTATATAGCTGCAGAGGGTTCGTGCATGACCT